CAGATAGCTCCACGGTTCTGATCTACGATCTACACCTAAACTTTGTCCACAAGGTGTTCAATTGACTAACACCTTTCGGGGTTATAGAAAGCTTTCGGAACAAACTACGGTCTAACCGCCAAGGTCCCCAAAGATGCCCTTCAGATCACATCCGGTAAGCTTAAGGAATACGTGGGTGATAATGGGTCCGGAAGTATAATACATCGGGAATTTTGTGGGGATTGTGGGAGCTATATTTGCGAGTATGGGGTATGTTCTTTCGCTCTAGGGGACTCGTTTGTGGGAGTGGCATGAGTGCTCTGCTAATGGGTGTTGGACAGGATGCTGTCAAGAATGATTTCCGGTATATCTGTGTAGGGACATTGGATGATCCGGAAGTGTTGCCGCCGAAGGGAGAGTTTTTCTGTCAGAGTAGGGTTCGTTGGATGCCGGAGATTCCGGGTGAGTGTCTGGTCTGTCTTGTCCTCATGGTGCGCAATAACTAATTTGGTTCGTAGATGTTTTTCACAAAAGCAAGATCAAGGAGTAAAGAGTCCGCTCCGATCATCGCCCGAATCTAGCTTCCCTTCAGTGTGAAGATGTCCCATTATGAGCGCTTTGTATTGTAGATGTGTACACGAAATGGTGTCTATGTCAATTCCACACTCTTAACCACCATATCAGGCCGTATCAGTTTCCCCTGGATATGCAGCGCATTCAGATAGTCATTGCTGTCGACACGACGAAAACCATCTTCCAGCGTCTTCTCAATCCCCGCACTAACATGACGTCGAGCGACTCTTCCCCTAGCTTCCTGCAAGTCTGCATCGACAAATATGCGATAGTCGACTAGTTGCGAGACATCACGCCAGTGTTCTTCGTTTAACAGGAGATAGTTGCCTTCGATAATGATAATCGAGGCATCGCTTGTAACAACCATGCCATTCTCAATGGGGTCTTTCGCCTCATGATCAAATGACGGCGCATATATTACAGTAGCGTCAGACGATGAGCCTCCGTCTGAGGGAAACGGGGTAGAATCCGCCCACTGTCGTAGCTGTTGAACAAACGTAACGAAACGAACTGCATCAAATGTCCACGGCGCACCGCGCCGAATATATGCCTCTTCCCGATTAGGGAGTGTGTCCAATGCCGCCCGCGACAAATGGAAGCCGTCCATGGAAATGAGGGCTATTTTGTTTGGTTGTGACTCGGCTCGGAGTTGTTGAGCGACGGCTGAGGCTGTGGTTGTCTTGCCAGAGCCTGGTATTCCAGCTATGGCAACGAGAAGCCGCTTCTTGTCATTCTTGCGAGCTTCTTGTTGAATTGCTTCTGCAATTCGAATGTATTCTGCTTCCATCTGTTCTCTTTCACGTTGATCAGCTTGATGGACAAACGAACGGTAAGCGGGATTGTCTAAGCAGGGCAACTAACCTTGAAACACACCTTGTGCGTCTTTGTTATGAATGAAGAAGTCAGATCCAAAGTCTAGTTTGTGCTTTCGTAGAGAATCCATCTCTAAATAGGTGCTACCTTGTGGCGGGGGAATCGGCTGACAGTGCTCCGACGACTGCTAGCAATGGCACACGTTGGAAACAAGTATCCGAGGTAAGTAAATCAACGATTCGCGGGGAACGACTAATTTAATTCCGATCAGTGAAATCTTAAGCTTGCACGGTCTTTTGTTTGATTGTGAAACAGTCGCTTTGGTCCACGTTGGATATCCGCCATAGGGAACGGTGGCGAATCGTCCATGTCCTCACCATGCTACTGTTCGTCCGGATCCAGCATATGGGAATGTACGGTATGTGATCAGTCATTTGGCCCCGAATGTCACTTCCACGAGCAACCTTATGCCAGTCATTCCCCCGCATGTGGGGTGACTGGGCGATAGAGCTATCTAAGGCACATGCCTATCTTATCGGCCGGAAAATAAACTATCGCGATGATAGAGAGAAGAGCTCCGTCAAATGTTCCACCAAAGTATCTCCATTCACTCATGATTCATTCTAGTCAAGTTGCCAATAGACGTGGCGGTGAATTTACTAATTCAACGTGGCGGGAACGCGACTTGGTTGACCGCTTCGGTGGTTTTTGCAGAGGTGCCACATAGAAGCACAGTATCTGCTGATCCAAACAATGCGAGCAGCGCGGTCTCTGCTGGTCGCAAACAACGCCCCATGTCTGGCACGCCTTGCAAGGATAACTATGCTCGTTTTCGGAGGACCGTTCCCGCAGTCCTGTATCGCATTCTCCAGTGGCAGACAAACCATCTCTTGCTGTGCCAGCACAACCGTTCGTCTTTGTGGAGGCACCGTTTGTCGCTCTGGGGTGATTCGCGGGATCCGCAAGGGCATCGTGGGTCCCAGACCCGGCGATCATCCACACCGACCAAAACCATTGCGAAAAGCGCTTCAGAATGCATTCTCCCCCCATATGGCTTTTCCTGGTAAGCTCGTAGCTCACCGAACTTTCAGCCGGCTGTGCCATTGTGTTTGACAAGGTGTCTGATAGTATCGTATCTTCGTACCACTGGTCGACTGGCAAATATGGTCGGGCGGGGTGCTGATCAGAACTAGAAAATCATTAGCGTCTTTATCCAATTTGATCATTGACGATGCCATTTGCAAACGCATACCTGAGACTGCCCTTATGGTACCGAGGAAGTAGACGTTTATAGTCACTGTCGAAGTGCTTGAAACATTCCCTGTCGATCGACAAGAGGTCTCTTCTCTTCAAGCGGAGGGAGATCGCTGCGGTACTGCAAGAGAAGCGTACCCGCGCGACCTGCTAGCGACGAAATCTTTCCATGGGTTGATGTCGTGAGACAAGAAGAACGGGAAGCGGGATTCCAGCTTCTGAAGAAGAATCCGCGTCTAACGAAGAAAGAAAGACAACAACACGAAGGGGAGAAAGGATCCGAGCACCGTTATAAGAAAAACCCCGCGCCATCGGAATGCCAACACACGGTCCTCCAGGACACGGGGCCCAGACTTGGAGTGACTTGGAGCGACCCCTGTCACCGGGTCCGCGACACCCAAATCGCATGGATCGACATTACGTCACATGAGTGGTGCCACGGTTCGTGGCTCTGATATGTGCAGTTCCCACTTAGCCATGAAGGCATCCTGGTCATGGCGCTATAATAAGTCTCGGCTATAAGGGAAAATCCTGGCATGGCGCTTGCTTGATAGATTAGTCCGCGCTCTATGGATACACGATCGGAGTCCGAGTCAAGTTGATATTCAACGTCCACGTAAGTGTCGGAAGATAAGCAGAGAGAACGGTCGCGATTCGTCGCCTGACAAGGTCGGTGATTTATTGGATTCTGTGTCATCCAGGTACCTCCTCTGAGTCAAGCGACTGACCGTCTGACATCCGCAGGGACAGCTGGGCTGATCTACTTCCCTTGCAGCCAGCTAGTCCGATTTCATCCTAGTCGTCCGGCCCCAAGATAACCATATGTCGAAGAGCAAACGCCTTGTTGGAGCTTGTTAAATCTGCAGCCTTATTCGTTTCGCATAAGATTTGTATGGCATGCAGGAAAGTAGGGGAGCCAGATTCTGATCCGTGCCTGCTTCGTGTCGCTTTCCGTTCTAGGCCTCAGACCGCCCAGTAAATAGTGGTATCCGGACCGATGCCTAATGCAGCCTGCTACAACACATCACGGCCATACGTGTCACCGCATACTCATAAAAGGCCATTTCCCGTTCATATGAAATTCGTTGGATTGTCATGATCTGAAGCCACTTTATAGTACTCCTAGTTTGTCTCAATCAATTCAATAAATCTTCGAGCAAGCGACAATCGCTGATCAATATCGACCTGATTATACCCAGAAATGATGGTCTCGCTAGTTATCAAGTATTGCTCGCGAAATACATCCCACAGCTCTCTCTGCGGTCGGGGATAGAAGGGATCATTGCGCCAAAAAGCAGTAACAGCCTGCTGGACCCCATCATCGCTCATGGGCATAGGCTGACATAAATCGAAGTCCAGCATCCACATAGTATGCTGACCGAGGACATTGGTGATTAGGTCGGTGTTGGGTTGTTGTTCATCGAAAGGGAGAGGAGCCAGGACAAATTCAATATCATTTCCGTCCATCTCGCCGAGCCAGTGTAGAGTTGCTAAGGCTTCACCCATCATTCGCGCATATTTCTGCATGTTTTCGATCGAGATACCAATGTCTTCCATCTGGTCTTCATGTAATGGGTAGTTTCGCAGTGAGAAAGCCGCAAATCTCGAGGGTCTGTTGATTTCGGTCCTCTGCGTCCGTCGCCTACCCAGATACGGCCGTATCAGACAGTCTCTATTGGCTGCGGTTGTCAGTATCTCCATTTGTATCTTTGGATTGCAGTATTTGTTGACAATGAGCTCTCTAGTCTGCTCAGGAAATGGGGGGATGCGGTCTGAGACGATGGCATTGCAGGGTGAGTGTTGCGATGGAAAGAGAGGAAGATTTTCCGACCACCACCGATCGCTTGGTGGGATGAAGCGATGGCACTGTGAGACCCGAACTTGGGGAAATGCCTGGTAGTTAATGGATCTTCGACTTTTGATGTCTGTCAGTCGCGAGAGACACCGAAGAACTCGCTGGTGCATAGCATAATCATTAGAGAGGGACCTGTCTGGACCGCCATCCTCTCGCTTGATGGCTAGACCAACTTCAGCGAGGGTCCAGACTGTCCCGCAGAATCCTGCACCGATACAGTAATATTTTGATGACATGAATGCTTGATGGTGTTACCGGATGTGATATGGAACGGAGAAAAGGTACTGTGAGGTGAGTGTTTCTCCTTGTGGAAAGGTTTGACGTCACATTGACCCCCTCTGTTTTCGCATTTTACCCAAGGACTAAATCTAATGATTGGATTTAGGGGTTTAGGAACTAAGTTGATATCTTGAATGGTACTTGGCAGGTGAATCCGTTTATTGTTTAGCTTGAAGGAGGAATGTCACGCTCAAGAATTGTAATTCTTCATTGCTATACCATAAAATAGGACAGCATCATATATCAAGCCCGGGTGGTCTAGTGGTATGATTCTCGCTTAGGGATACAAACCCAAGCATATCTGCGAGAGGTCCCGCGTTCGATCCGCGGCTCGGGCCTTGAATCCTTTCTTTTTTCGTTTTTACTTGCCTAGACAGAGTCTTACTTACTCTCTTTGCCATTCTTTTTCGTTCTTTTTTTTACTTAGCTCTATTTTGTGTGTAAATGTGTGTGTGGGTGTGTATATTGGTCGGGCCGCCGGTCGGGCGCTCGGGGAGGCATGTCAGTGAACACCCGATGAGTCGCACGTTGAGTGAGCCAAGTACATAAGGGTAGGTCATGTGCTGCTGAAAGAGTGGACACCACAAACACACAACAAGCAAGCACTTCGGGACCATCCGGATCCAAGTAGCTATTTCTTCTTCAGCTAACGATCAGATTCAATGAATCAGCAGCTCCTCCCAATCTCAGAAGCCCAACCATATTCCTCCCCTGGCATCGGTTCCAGATTATTAGAACGTCCCCAGAGTCGATCTGCCACGGTTTGAAACTAGGTTTGGTCGTACCTTATGAGGCCACCCGCCCCATGAATCCTGGCATATCAACCAAGGGCAGCTACCCCAGATTGACCAGCAAGCTTCCATCAAGACCCGATGACAGACACAAAATTGAGCACGCTCCCCTCGGCTAGTCGAGAGTTCACTAGTGATCCCATGACTTCACCTTTTTTGTCGCGAGTAATTAAAGCTACCAGTCTACCCTGCCCAATGAGCCTAGGTTATGGATTATCTTTCTGATGTCAAGACTTAATATTTTGGGTGCAGTTGCACGCTATTTAAGTTGGCTGTGATGGCGAATTTTGATGCGTGATGGAGGGAAGGAGTTGTAGCTAGTACCTGCGCTACACAGTGCTCTACCGAGAAACTACACTATTGAGTGTCTCTCTCTAATATCTATCTATCTATCGATAGTCTCCCTAAGGGGGCACATTCATCGTCATGTCCACCACATCTAAGAAGAATACTATGGGCATCACAGTTGAAGAAGTCAGGAAGCCTGAACCTGAGCTTGGGGGTCAAAATCACAGTTCTCCTAGCCTGGAGGAGCTCATCGAGGAGGTCCCTCCTACGGAGGACTCGCCGAGTTTGATTGAGACTATTGGGTATTTGCTTTCTATTCAAGACGGCTGTATGCTATCTGTTGGTTGTGATGATGGAAGATAGAAGGTGGCTAATTGGTATCACAGATGGACCGCCGGATTCAACATGGGATGTGGAGGATTTCGATTGAAAAGTTATCTGATGTTCTAAGGTTATGTTACAAGACAGTGATGATATTATGGGTGGCTCCGGATTAGCTATTACCCCGGGTTAGCGCTTGGTGCTCGATAATGTTTCTTCTCCATATAACGAACGAATAAAATGTACTCTAAACACAGACCCTCTTACCGAATTTGTCAAGAGAGCCTTCACAAAGATCTTGGTTTTATAGCACAGTAAATAAACCCTAAGGCTTTATCCGTCGAACAATGTTCCAAGTTCTTTTGAAGGAAACAGGCTTTAGCTTTCGCTGATGTCAGACTGCACAGCATAATTGGTGGCAACCAGTCATTGATGTTATGGGTATAAATCTTGACGTTCTGCAGACCTGGTTGTGATCAGCCACTATTGATATGCTATCCTGTTCAAAGACTTCCTTACCTCGGCATTAGACACTGTCATAATACTACAACACATCGTACAATGTCCGAACACGAGACTCAAGTCCCAACACCAGCATTGAGCCAGCCACCGCAGGAGAACAGGGAGTCTTTGATAGATATGCTACACCTCAACAACGTGACATCACATATTGTAAATGCGGTTGGACATGTCACTGATGCAGAAAGTGATGCGGACACAATTGACTGTATGCTGTGCCCCTACGCACGTGGTAGATGGAGGATATGCTAACCTCCCTGCAGGTGATGATCATGTATTAGTATTCGATAACCCCTTTAAGGGGGCTATGGATGGAGATGATGACGAAGATCTTTGATTGGGTTCCTGGCCATTGATGATATTTTATGCGCCCAATAGGATCGATTACTTACTATGGGGTGGGTGGGGAGCAATGCCTGGGCAGGTGATGTTGATATACCATTCTTTTGCAATTACCAAGTCTCAGCATAGAAACTACTAGATATATCATTCACTCAATATGATCTATCCATGATTATGCCTCATCCTTCCATGTATTAATGAGAAACTCCCTCATCTTGATGGGCTTAATATCAGGAAACATAGAATTCATACGCTCCTTTGGTAGATCGAAAGCGCCGGCAATGGTGAGTCGGCTCACCAGCACGGTCATCTCTAGAGCCTCCGCCTCAGAATATCCGGTGAGAAACGGTGGCACTGTGACCTGGCCTTCTTTAATCTTCTCGGCACTGTCATAAATAACCTCGAATTTTTTGCCTGGTCAAGTTAGTCAAGTTCCTTCGTAGATGCTCGAAATACATACCTCTGGCCTCCTCAGCAAGCTCAAGGAGCTCGTTGTAGGTAACATCATCTCCTGCAAAGACGCTGAATTCAGGCCACTCGTCAAGATCAAGCAGCTTCACGATATATGCTGCCAGGTCGTACGAGTACGTCACGCTCATTGTGTCATTGCCATCGCCGGGGATACCGGCCCAGCAGTTGGCTACATCGATCCCGATAACGTGTTGATGGATGTTGGTTCGCACTCGAGGCATCCCCCAGTAGTCCATGAGAACGCCGGGGCAGACCCGAGTATACTGCAACTTGGTTTTCTTCAGCATTTCAGCTACATCAAGCCAGTACTTAATGCTGGGATCGTGGGGTAGGAGGCTGTTTCATTAGCAAACTTGCCATTAGTAAGTACCATGTAGGGTGAACATACTCCTCGGTTTGAATAAATGAATATTCACTGGGAACAAATCTCTTCGTAACACTAGATCTCTCGGCAGCCAGGACTAGGTTCATCTGGGATTGGTTGGCTTCCTCCGTGTAGATTCCGATGGCGGAGATGATTGTGTGTATCGCATGCTTCTCCAGCGTTTGAACAATAGAGTCAACATCATCATAATTGACTTGAATTTGCTGCGTCCGCCCGAGAACGGGATCCTCCTTGGGGCTCTTGACTTTCGATGAGTTAGTGCGCGCGAAGCATCGTCAATGGGGTCGTACACTTTGAGTCAAGACAATGACCCGATACTTGGGCTCCTGCAGCAACGCCTCGACTATGGTCTTCCCTATGCCGCCAGTTCCACCGGCCACAGCAATCGTGCTCATCTTGGTGTGTTTATTTGGAGATCCCAAGGAGTTCTGGTAGAGTAAGATGGTTGTTGGCAGCTGGATGCTTTGGCTAAATTCGGGAGTGGTAGAATCGGGCCCTGCTGGCTGCCGGCCCCACTTGATAAGTTGGTGGGTCCTGCTTTTCCACTTCCATAGATGATACTGTTGACATCGTGACAGCACGTAGTGCTATCAGCAGTGCCGAATTTGCTGAAATTTCATATTCCGCTGGTTTTCAATTGTAGGAGTTTGAGAGGGGTCTATAGTGTGCTGTGCGACCTATAGATACTAGTGTTGGGATTGTCGATAGGTTCACCAGTGTTGAAGTGACCAAAGGCGTGTCACGGTGTCTTACATTGCTAGCGCCTTGCGGGCGACATCATCTCTCTTTCTGTTTAAGTGATTGTGCAATAAGTTCATGTAGTGCTTCTACTTACTAGTAGTACTATCAGACGATACCGTGATGGCATGTTGAAGTTTCAGTGGACGCATGAGGTCAGACTTCGCAGCAGGTTTGCATGAGAATATATATCCGACAATTTAATGATCGACCAACTAGCCGAGTGGGCAGCAAATAAGGAAGGGCAACATCAGCACACATATAACATTTCACTATAGCTATTTATACTGTATACAAAAACAGGCGTAGCCAACTATTGCTAATGAGGGACAAAGCAGCAGAGAGATGTGATGATTTCAGGAACTCGGTAAGCGGATCTGATGAAACACGCAGGATCGTAGTGTAATGTAGTTACATGTATCTTAGTACCCAGGACTCCGAGTGTCGAAATATGCACCTACACTAGACGAGGTTTTAGTTATGGTGTGCAGCTGCAACGGACCTTTACTCTACTGGCAAGGAGCATGGCCTTAAGAGGCTCGTCCCTACTTGTCAATATCAGTAGCTCATACTTTGCAGGATCATATAGTCTAAATTGTGACAATTCCCTCAACAATCCTCGATGGTCTAACGGTCATGATTTCCGCTTGTCAATCCCAGTTGGGAACAAGCGCGGGAGACCTGGGTTCGACTCCCAGTCGGGGAGATTTCCTTTTTTGCTTTCCGCACATATTACACAGCATATCTTTGGCCTACTATTTTGAGTCACACATTGAGTCACACCTGCGTATATCCAATGCTGTCATACACCCCTTACTATTTGCACTATCATGCGCCTCATGCCTAAGCCTCACGAGGATGGCTTGACATGCCACAGCATTCTTTATCCGGCGAGGGGCAATCCTGTGGCACGCCGGGGAAACGAAGGGCCGGCCCAAGACACCCCCCGGGAAGCCGCTTTGCGTAGCCCCGGACTTAATGAGTCAAGCACCGATCGCGTCATTTCATTTAAATTCTTCTGCAGTTCGCTTGTAGCAAGACAATACACCAGCAATTGCAATCATCATGAGAAGAGAAGACATTACCTACCTGGGTGCTGGCCCTGCCAGTCTTCCCACCGATGTTCTCGCCACAGCAGCCCAGGCGCTGCAGAACTACGAAGACACTGGACTGTGAGGGGCACTGATCTGTGCGATCTTATCTGCGACCGTATCTGACCTGCACTTCTAGTGGTGTCGCAGAACACAGTCATCGCAGCGAAATTGCGACGAATATCCTGAACAACGCCAAGGCTGACCTTGCTAACTTCCTGGATATTCCCGACACCTATGAGATCCTCTTCCTGCAAGGTACATTGCTGTCCTCAGCTCTCTTCGCAATTTCAACTCGCTGATGGATTGAAGGTGGTGGATCCGGCCAATTCGATGCGACCGTTTACAACCTCGTGTCGATCTGGGTTGAGAAGCAGAGACAGCAGATTATC